TCCCAAAATATGTAACATAGTCCTAGTGTGAGTATGCCCTGACAGTGCCAGGAAATGCGATCTCGTAGTGTGACTGGAGTCGTCGAAGAAGAGGACCCCTCGAAAAAAAAAAGGTGAAACCTCGTCGATGCCTGCTAACATTTTGAATGTAACGAAGGGTACTTCTGGTGTGGGGATTGAATCCTCAAAGGGGCCTTGCCTACATGCATATGTTCTGGGCTTAGCCCCCAGCAAGCCTCGTGCCCGCCCTAAGTGAAGGCGGACAAGAATATCCACAGGAGACCTTCATTCAGCATTTCACGAAGTGGGTATCAGACAGTTGCCGCACGCCAGTTGGTTGGAGTGCATCGTGAGCCTCAGACTCCTGCACAAGCAGTTGAGCCCAGGGCCTCGGTTGGTTGAGCCCTGAGTGACAGTCTGGGAGGCCGACACATCACACATTTGGTCCCTGGCCTCAGAAAAGCAGTATTTGGTCGTAGAGGCCGAGGAAACCAATGGGAAACCAATACAGGGCCTGAATCTGGACAACGGCCCTATTATAAGGGGCGCAACTGTATTACCTGGGCCCCATCTGCATTGGGCCAGGGTACAGGTACTGGGGCCCAGGCGCAGGCTCAAGGCAGACCGCCCACACGCAACACAGGCATATAGGCAGAACAGGCGTGTGGGCAGGGATCTTGGCCATTGCAAGCAATGCCGGCACGCTGAAGCACTGCAAGGTGCTGCGCTGGTGCTGCGCTGCGCTAGGCTGTGGTAGAGGCAGGCTGGCGCTAAGCGGTAGAGCGCAGCCTGGGTGCAGAGCGCTGGCGGCCATAGCCGGGCTGCCTGTGGGCGCAGAGGAGGTGAAGGGCGAAGGTGGTTCTTCGGAAGGTGAGGGGCGCTGTGTGGGATAACAAGGGAGAGTGAGGGTGAAGAGAGAGACGTACCTGGTGCAGAGGAGGTCGGCATTGGTGTTGACGTCATCACTCGCTGGTGTTGACGTCATCACTGTCTGGTTGCTTCCATGCTGTAGTTGAGTGTTAGGCTGTAGAGTAGATAGGGCGCATGGCGCCATTCATGAGAGAGACCTACATTGGGTTATGCTGTTGGTGTTGCCCAATTGGGCTTGGACATTGACTCACGATTCTGCTGTATCATTCTCAAATGGATGGTTACTCGGTTCCATTGTGCTATCTGCTCTTGCTTTGACTACTTGGACTTCAGTGTGATTTTGCAATTTGGATTTCTGTGCTTCGTCCATATTCATGTTCCTTGCATTTTGGTATCCCGCTTACCTTGGTGCGCTGGCGTTATACAGACTTGGTCCGTTGACGATGCTTCTTCGCAGTTAGTTCTTGTGACGTCAGGCCATAATTAGGCGCACGACCTGGGTAGAGAGGTGTGCGTCGGAAGGCTGTATGGCTTGGGATGCCGTGGAGATGGCAGAATGTATGATTGGTGATGAGAGCATGCTGATGTGGCATTCGGCTTCAGGGGCATTGCATTGCGTTGTGGGTGGTACCGAGGCTACGACTGGTCATCAAATGCACACTCAGCTCAATTGGTGAGAAATTTGTGGTTGGGGGCAGCTATCTCCAGGTATGTTGTTCCCTTACCTTATCTACTCTCTCAATCTCTTCTTACCGCGAGGAAGTGAGTCCAACTTGAGAGTCCTCTGTTTTGGTGAGGTGTCGTGTGCACTCTACCTTGAGAGACGACAATCTTCCCCGTGAAGCATCTGGAAGGAGAAAGGGCGGTGCCTTCTGAAGGGCCCTGGTCGAAGCACGTGGGTCACGGTCACCATGCCAACCCAATGGGATAAGTACACACATGCGATGGCTGCTTGTGATACGCAACCTCACGCCCCCTCTTGGCTTCCCGTACGGCGTGGCCGATCAGAGTTCTTGGAGGGGCGTGGCCGAGGATTTTTGGCCGTATGGGTTGAGTCTCCCGGATGGAACGGGAGGCCCTCGTTTCTTGCCAGAGGTTTTCCCCGGGGTCGAACTGTCGTCGCAAAATCCCATGGGAGTCGGATCGCTCCGAAACGATAAAATCAGAAGGGTTTCCGTGAAAACGAACTGCCGTCGTGCATTAGGACGGGAAAAGGCATCAAGGGGAAAGGGCCATGGCGGCGGAAGACAAAACTTCGGCCGTCAGGGGTTTGGGGGATGGGTGGTGGGTTCGAAGCCTTAAGGCCTCGTCCTAGGCCTCACGAAGTGACTGAATCATCGGGTCTTTTGCTGTAGAGGTGGTTGGTTCGAGGCCTTCAAGCCTCAGCATCGGACTCACACAGTCCGCGCGGAAGGTTCCGGGAGGGTAAAGCGGCGGGAGGACTCGCCGGCAACCGAATTTAAAATTGCGTGGGCAGCGCCCCCGCACTACGGGAAAGCTCGGGGAAATGTGTCGCTCCCTCGTAACCCAGGACCAGTCGTCGCCAAGAACACGAGTCCCCCTGGCGACACCAGCGACAATCAAACTGCGGCCGCCACGCGGCGTGAGCGGCCGACCAAGGCAACACAGTCAAACCCGTATAAGGCAATATAAGAGTCGGGGAATCAAAACGATCGATCAAGACAAACCCGTTCCCCCTTATATCGCAAGCCCGAGGCGGGTCTCGCCAACAAACTTGCTCCGTTCGCCTCAGCGCGGGCCGTACGTCCGCATCGCAGTAGACGCTGTCGTCATCTGTGATGGGGAAGGTCGGTAGCGGGATGAGACGATCGGAAGTAGGCGATGAACACGGGCAAGATCCCGCACTCCCGGTCATCCGAACCAACATCGACTCCATGCAACACTCAATGCAACCTTCTCTCTCGGGGTTAGCGCGTCGGAGGAAGATGGCGAAATTGAAGCTCTCTTCCCTTTGCGGGGGCRTCGACCGCACGCGYGGACGCAGGCGGTTGACRTCACCRGTGCGGGRACGAGAAGCTCAAAACAAGRGAGTCGRGAGAGAGASGGAGAGAGCTTACATCGAGAACACGCGCACGCGCGCGCGAAGGGCCGCGGAAGGGAGGGGAACAACGAGATTAACACACTCGTACTCCTAGGCAGACGGTCCCCCAGTTCAGTTTCCCCATCCCCACCTGGACAAGTACATACASACATGCATGCAAACAATCAACAACCCTTGACAGGACATCTAATCATCCATAGACCTTCGACATCACTCATGCGCACAACCAGCTCCCATCACTCGGGGGTTCACACACACGACATGCATAGACAAAGCAGCAATGGAGATAAAAGCGAGTCCTTCTTGTACACAAAAATTTCAATTAACTGCCGCCCCCAGGCGCAGCCTTGAAAACCTCCCAAGACCACCGACCACCATAGCCACAAGGCCCTGCCGTGGCCCGCGTCAACTCCCCACCACTGCTCAGTCCCTCTGACTGCGTCGCCCCGGGACTACCGCGGGTCCACCCCATGTCGTCACTCCACCCGTCCTTGGGCTCGTCGAGCCTGTTCGGCGCCGCCGACTTTCGCGCATAGCTCGCGCAGCATTGCAGCCGAGATCAAAGAGGAAGAGAGGAGAGGGTTGCGCGAATTTATAAAGTGGGAGGCGGCGGGTTGTCAGCGCGAGGTGCGGGCAGCGCAGGTTGTAGATGAGCAGGACAGGAGGAAGGTGGGGAGTTAGAGGGTTCGACTCGCGGGATGGCATGGTCCTACGTGATTGGGGTGTTTTTGTTCAAGTGGCGCGCGGTTTCCCGCTCTCCACATTGATCCGAGCATCCCAACTACGCGGCCAATCACTTCGCGGGGATAGGATCGAGATGGGCGGAGGGGAAGACGAAGAGTCCGACATGGGGAAAATGCGCGCAGCAAGAAGGGAAGATGGCGCGGGGATGCAAAGCAAGAAACGGGAATGCGAGACGCGCGAAGAGATCGGAGCTTGTGCGTGCGCACGCAAAAAATTCAAAAAGTCCCAACTGCCCCCGTTTCTTTGTTTTCATACCGCGGCCGCTATTCGCCCGCGCGGGAGCTATTAACCAAACAAAATGAAAAAGCCGTTTCAAAAAGAAAACAAAAGCAGAAAGAAAGAAAAACCCCTTTCTGTCCGTGTCCGTAGTTTGGGGCTTCCGTGGGATTTTTCCTCAGGGATACGGGAAGCTGCGCGGTACGGATGTGAGCTTATCACATGCTTTGTCCATGAAGGCACTTTGCTGCGCTGATAGAGGGGTGTGCGGACTGAACAGGCTTATGCAGACGCTCCCAGACCGTCTATAAACATTTCTGGATGCGGTTCCGATCAAACCAAGACTATAGAAGGACTGGCCAGCCTCCCATTTGGTCAGATTGCTCATTCGCAAGTAGTGTGGAAGTGCTGGTGCATTTGTGCGCTGTAGTGAGGAGCAGAGCGCTGAAGCCAGAGTGCTGCCCTGAGAGAGAGAGAGAGAGAGAGAGAGAGAGAGAGAGAGAG